GAAGGCGTTGGAAGGTGGCGCCGGTGACGCCGGTGACGTTGACGTTGACGTTGACGATGACACCAATGATGACGTTGACGTTGACTTTGACGCCAACGAGGCCAATGACGTTGACGTTGATGCCAACAACGATGACGTTGACGTTGATGCCAACGAGGCCATTGATACCAACATGGCCAATGACGCCGATGACGTTGACGTTGACACCAACGAGGCCAACGGCGCCGATGACGCCGATAACGATGACGCCGACGTTGACGGTGCCAAACGATGACGCTGATGACTCCGATGATGTTGATGTTGACGCCAACGAGGCCAGTGGTGCTGATGATGACGTTGACGTTGAAGGTACTGATGCCAAACGATGACACCGATGACGTTGACGCTGACGAGGCCGATGTTGACAACGACGCCAACAAGGCCGATGATGTTGCCGATGCCGATAACGATGACGCCAACAAGGCCAATGGCACCAATGATGACGTTGACGGTGCCAAATGATGACGCCGATGACGCCGATGACATTGATGTTGACACCAACGAGGCCAATGGTGCCAATGATGACGTTGATGGTGCCAAACGATGATGCCAATGAAGCCGTTGACGTTGACATTGACACCAACGAGGCCAGTGACCATGACGACGCCAACAACGATGACGCCAATGAGGCCAGTGGTGCCAATGATGACGTTGACGGTGTCAAACGATGACGCCGATGATCGCGATGACTTTGACGATGACGCCAACGAGGTCAATGACCTTGATGATGCCGATAACGACGACACCAACGATTCCAATGCCAACGCCGATGACACCGATGACGCCGTTGACATTGACAATGACGCCAACAAGGCCAATGACGCCGACGATGCCAACAACGATGACTCCAATGACACCGATGATGTAGATGTTGACGCCAACGAGGTCAACGATGTTGACGCCGCCGATAACGATGACGCTGATGATTCCAATGCCAATAACGTTGACACTGATGACGCCGTTGACATTGACGATGACGCCAACGAGGCCAATGGCACCAATGATGACGTTGACGGTGCCAAACGATGACGCCGATGACGTTGACGTTGATGCCAACGAGGCCAATGACCTTGATGACGCCGATAACGACACTGATTCCAGTGTCAACAATGATGACACCGACGATGACGTTGACGTTGCTGATGCCAACGAGGCCAATGAAGTTGATGATGCCAACAACGATGACTCCAATGACGCTGATGACGTTGACGTTGACACCAACGAGGCCAAAGACCTTGACGATGCCAATAACAATGACGCTGATGACGACGTTGACGTTGATGTTGACGCCAAGGAGGCCAATGACCTTGATGACGCCGATAACGACGACACCAACGATTCCAGTGTCAACAACGATGACGCTGATGACGATGTTGACGTTGATGATGACACCAAAGAGGCCAATGGTGCCGATGATGACGTTGACGGTGTCAAACGATGACACTGATGACGCCGTTGATGTTGATGTTGACACCAATGAGGCCAATGACCTTGACGACGCTGTTAACGATGACACCAACGATTCCAATGTCAACAACGATGACGCTGATGACGCCGTTGACGTTGATGATGACACCAAAGAGGCCAATGGTGCCGATGATGACGTTGACGGTGTCAAACGATGACACTGATGACGCCGTTGATGTTGATGTTGACACCAATGAGGCCAATGACCTTGACGACGCTGTTAACGCCGCCGCCAACGATTCCAACGCCAACGACGCCAACGCCACCGTTGACCTCACCAATGGCCACTCCAAGCCTCCCCCCCCATGAAACCTCAAGCTTGTAGAGCCCCCAACGCCTCCCCCCCTCCTTTCAAACACGCCGACTCGTGATGTTTGTTGAGATAAGACTTGAGGGCGAAGGTTTTGCTGCATCTCTGACACTTGAAGTGTTTGAAAGCCGAGTGGGTCTGCATGTGAGCGCGGAGATTGGAGCGGTCGGCGAAAGCTTTGCCGCAGTGAGCGCAACCGAAAGGTTTCTCCCCGGTGTGGGACCTCATATGACCTTGTAACAACCAAGGACGACTGAAGGCTTTACCACACACCTGACACTTGTGCTTGAGGTCATGGGTGAGGAGATGCATGGCCATAGCCGGCATGGAGACGTAGATCTTCCCACACGTTGGGCATTTCTTAGCCATCTGACTGTCCAAGCTGCGGTGGGTTTGTTTGTGGCGACTCAAATTGGAAGAGGTGGCGTAGGTTTTACCGCACTCCCCGCACGCGTGACGTGGCGCCGCCTGATTGGTCGCCACTCTCCCATTTTGACCCAAAATGGCTGTTTTTCTCCTAGATCTCCCATCGGTGATGAAGAAGGAATCGAGGGCGTAGCCTTGGCTGACGGCGGCGTCACCGTTGATGTAACCCCCCCGGAAATCCGAATTAGGGCTGTCGGGTAAATCCGAATCAGGATCCGGATCGTCGTTGGGGTGAGGGAAGGAACTGGGTTTACTGGGGTAAA